TATATATATAAAAAGATCATTCAACATTCATTTGTGATGCATTACTGTTATTAGGTGTATCTTCTTTAAACTCTGTTGGATATCATGACAGTGGTATTGTGAAGTTCACCAAGCCAAGTGTTATCAACAACACCAGGGCTTCAGCTCTGTCATCATCAGAAGGGAGACATCTTTCTTCTCATCTGTATCACTGGAGTATCTATTAGGAAATCTTGGAAATAAGGACCAAATAAATGCATGATGCTTATTCCTTTATACTCAAACAGGCAAACTTTAGATACATTAATATACCATGATCAGAATCTGATAATAGTTTGAGATATGGAGATTTGTTAATAAGTCATAAAGATAGCAATAATCTCAATTATCTTGTGTTATCTATTTCATGTTTTAATTTGTTTGTATTATCAATTTTCTTTGTTGACAACAGATGTGCTGTGCATTAAAAAAAATGTATCTAAATTTCATCATTATCTTGGAATAAAATGACAGTCAATTTGTACTCTCAAGGATATTCCTATGGATCATCCATTTTCTAGCTTATAGACATACAGGCTGTGAAGGAATCTCTGCAAAAACCTCACACTTAACTAATTTTCTGGGGTAAATGATATTTTGCTACATCTAACCAATTTATGATCCTTATTTTCTGACATTCACTCCGACTCCATAATAATCTGGACAAAATGAAATGTTCTTAGCACACATATGTGCACACACGCATGCACACACATACATATGTACACACACACACACACACACACACACACACACACACACACACACACTGGGGTGCAGTGAGGCACTGATCTTCTCCTCTACTATGTATACACACCTATAACAGTTGTGGACCATCAACACATGCATTAAGCACTTCTGCTGTAGACCTTACCTTTGGCTGGATATCTTAATCCTATATAAATCCTACAAGGGACTCTCACCTGCAATATCTCTTTAAATCTTTATTCCTCTACATTCCAACAGAACAAAAAGATTAAAAGCTTTTATAGTTCAAGTCCAAATAATCACCATGATTCCAAAATTTCAATGTCAATTTCAAATAAGTAAATTTTCACCTATCTGGACTGACATCATTTTTACCACTGACATAATATTATATGTACATTGAGGCACTGCAGGCTTCTTACAGTAATCATGATGCCACATTTCATTCCTTCTGCCTGGCCACTATGAGAAGTAGCCTAACACTGTCACCCTCTGGCCTTTTCTCAATCTAAGTACAATTTTATTTATTGCATTTTATGGATTAGCACTGGGACACAATATAAAAAGTTGAAAATTTACTACTTAAATGGAATGACATCAAAATATTGCATCAGAATTATTGCTCCCTCCACAGTATCAGACTAATTATGTCTGGCTTTGCAGAGATAGGGATCAGGGTGATAAGTCATGTCAATTAGCTATCTACTAATAAATGAAAAGTTTCTCCATCACAAGGAAAGTTCAATTTCATTTTCATACACTGCATGCAAGAATAAAGTATAAATGCATTCAATGGTCCACAGCTATCTTTCTCATCTTCTATATGTTGCACACACAAAACTATACATCTGTAACTTTAATTCAAAAGCAATTTTCAGCATCAGACATCGATTAGAATCAGATATGTATACTTGATATATTCAAGATAAAGATTAGATTAAAAGTTTATTTCATCCACGATTCTAATTTGAAATGTTACATGTGAAAAATCCAGTACCCTTCATAAAATTACTACTCAAATTTAACAAAGAGGAAGAAGCTATCTTAGACAAATTACACATAACACCTCAGTTATGCACACAAATAATAAACAGCAAAAAGTAATTGCTCACAGGGCAAGGACTTGCAAATTATAGCACACTTAATTCAACATCTTAGTTGCCTCACATAACTGATGTTTAACACACACTGCTGCAATGCACTCTGTTTTTTCAGGAATATGTGACAACTTGGATTTAAATTTAGCAGCAAGTTTTGTGCTTCTCATTTTTTTATTCCACAATAACCATAGAAATTAAATGAAAACCAAATAATGAAATAATAAAGTATTTAGAATCATCCACCCCCAGGGACAGCACAACCCCTTGGCAAACTAAATCCCACTCTGCCCATGCACACCCTTTATAGTAGGTCTGGAAATATCCAAAGTTTCAACTTCATTCACTCTCTAATCTAGAATTTAGCAGTTAGCATTATGAAAAAAATCTAGAAAAATCAACTCCCACTGCCTCCCTAAGGGACAGCCCCCAAGGTGCCCATGCACTAGTCTGATTATAATTCTATCAGTACCAAAAATCCTTCACCCTAATGGTATAAAAGATAGCAGAAATTACCATTTAATTTTTTAAGAATTAAGAATCAGTTCCCCCCCCCCCTCTCAGGGACAGCACAACCCGTTGTTGGACTAAAAAATCAAATCAGTTCATTCTGCATCTATTATCTATCTATAAGAATTTTTTTGGCAAGTTACTAAGTATTTAAGGATTTCTTCTAAGACTTGTCTTCTTTCAGTATCATGTTCAAAATGAGCTGTTTTTAAGACTTTACTTGACACGTTTGATGCTGGCATAACGAAGGGTGTAATATGCAGTGTGATCAAATTACTATTAGAGTTGCAGCATTTTTACCTACAACTGATTGCTTTTGGGTTCATCAAAAATTGGAAGATTTATATCATAAGGTACAATATCTATGCAGACTTTATCAAATAAAGTGAAGTCTGTTGCTCCCTAATTATGAGTGTACAAGCTGTCTCTAAAGTAGTTCCACTTCTAATCAAATCAGAATAAACACATTTCCTGACTTCTTCATCATCCCATTTTAAAACAATAATAAGACATCACCTTTCATCAACATAGCATTCATACAACTGAGTTAATTATGATAGCCTGAAAATTAAAATTCATATCATCTTTCACCAATCTGTCATTCATTTGGTTGAGTGTATCATAGCAGCCTGACAAAACATGAAATTGCCTATATGCTCTTTCCCCATAATATAATTTAATTGCATTGAGACAAAAGGGTAACGTTTCTATACAAAATAAAACAAACAGCAAAGTTGTAAAATGTAAGGACCAAAAAGCAAATAATGATACACTGAATAGGTTATTTTGTCAATTTGATGTAATTTCATATGATGCTTAACACAGAAATCAACACCAAATTTTAACAAGATTAAATGGGAGCTATGGAAGTATCTTCTTTAGTTGTAGAGAAATATGGGCCAGTAAATATGCAAAGGGCAATTAATGTTGAAAATTAAAGATGCATACAAAGTCAATTTTTTGTCACAAAAACCAACCAAATGCCAGCATATAGTTTCAAATAGTATAACTAAGAGAATTACCAAAAGGCATTGTTTAATTTTACCCGAAAATGATGTTTGAACAGATTTTTCTGCTGGCATTCTAAGCTGTATGTCAATGGGGCAGGAAAGTAGGTCACGGAAGTAGGTTAAATTTACAACCATAAATTTAAAGAAAGGAGCAGTCTAAAGGTCTTTTATGGCTGATCGAGTGATCTATTCAGTTTATCCCTTGGCATGTCGAATTTATTTGAGTCATATAAGAATCTAGTAGAAGTGGTTTACATGTGTTACTCGGAATCCACACTCCACCAATACTCGGTTCGTATGTACCTTTAAGGCTCTGTTCTCACAACTTTTAGATCGATCTATCACCGCGGGGAGTCTCACTAGATTACTGTCAGATAATCCGCCTTAAGTGTCCGTCCCCGCCTACTACAAGCTATAAGGGGTAATTAACTTTCGTGTCCGCCCGGCTGACAGCTATTTAGCGTGAACCCCCAGGGAGTTAGGTCGATCCAATGTAGGTCGATCTAATCTATGAGAATGGGGTGTAAGTCAAATGCCAAATGCGAGGTCATATTAAGATGCCCAATTTATTATTTAATACTCAAGTTCAATGCTAAATGTAGGTAGTTTTGGCGATTAAAGGGTCAGAAAATTTGCCAAGTTCAGTTCATGGTGAAAAGTAGGTCAAAGTTCAAATTCAAATTAAATCATATTAAGATTGTCAATGCATGAATTGCTATCCAAGTACAATAGTAAATATGGGTGTATCTCTGCCATTTTGGGAGATATATGGGCCGGAAATTTGCAAAGTGCATTTCATGTTGGAAAATAGGTCAAAGGTCAAAT